CTGGGGGCTGGCTGGTTTCTTGGGCTGGAGAGCGAGACACTGGCGGAGCTGTTGAGGCTGGAGAAGGGAATTCTCCATCACCCAGACTGAGCTGCTGCTCCTTCATCTCCTTCTTCATTGGTGGCCCTCGCACCCCTGTCCTCCCGGGACGTGTGGCAGTGCCAGGCACCGCTGCTGAGCTGCTGATCCACCTCAGCCACCAGCCCAGGATCTCTGCTCATCCCTGCTGTTCCAGCTGAGTGTTCCTCAGAGCCCTGCAGGAGCACCAGCAAAGCCTCTCCTCCATCCCTTCCTGTCTCGGCCGAGAAGGCTGTCACGGGGTCCCTGGTTCTGTTTTGTTGTTAATGCTGTAGTTATTGTTGTTTGTGTGCCTTGTTATAAATACTAGTAAAGAACTGTTATTCCTATCCCCAGCTCTCTGCCTGAGATTTCAAAATTATAATAATTCGGAGGGAGGGGGGTCAACATTTTCATTCCAAGGGAGGCTCCTGCCCTCCCTACCAGACACCTGTCTTCCAAACCAAGACAAGAACCTATCTGAACAATGCGGTTCCTTGAAATATTCAAGGGTGGCAAATCTGTAATGGAAATATTAAATGTTTTCTCTGATCCTTTTTGGGCAAGTATCTCCTCTGAAGACAGTGTCTGGCATGCCTTCAAAACTGTACAGTTCAAAATCCAAAGAAAATAGGAAAGGCAGCAATCCAAGAAACTTCCTACTCCTTTTTACATAGTGAGAATTAGAATCCCACAGGATCAGGTACTCTAAGAGGAAAGCACAGTGTGGTGGAGAAAACAGGTTTATGTTTTTAACATTTTCTTCAAAAGAAAAGTTAGAATTTTTTATTATTACTAGGGCCCAGTAAATTTGAAGTAATTAATTTTTAGAAAACAGTGTTTCCCAGCTGATGTGTGCATCCATCAGGAAGATGTCCTACCTCTGTATGCCTTCCTTGACTGGTGCTCTCAAACGGAAAACTTTTGCCCTAATGCAGTCTGAGGGCTGAGTATTTGATAGGGAAAGATTTTGGAGCCAACATCCAAGTCTTAATGGCTCTACCAGAGCTGATATTTGAATAAATATGTAAAACATCAGTCCCTGCTTGGAAGAAAAAGCCTTTATCAGGAATCAGAACTTGTAATGCATGTTATGTCTTTTTCTTTCCATCCCAAATCTAGATTTGCATTTTATGCTAAACCTTACCAGTGTCTGTAAGTGTCTGAATGCTCTCCTCTGTTGAAGGATGATTTCAACCCTTCTTTTTAAGTTACATAAAGTTTTATGAGAAGCCTTCTGCTGCTACACACAGACCTATTTGGGACAGTGAAAATAGAGCAAATGCTCATGATGACAGCACATTTCTTTTTTTAACCTTTCAATAGGAGGAAAACCTAAGACATGAGTCACAAGACATTACATTTTAGTTTTTCAAAGTGTTTGTCATTTAAGGAATACGTATTTAGGTCCAGTCAGGGACAGAGTCCTGGTGAAGTTTCAGTGGAACTCTCTTGATAGCAGCTGAGAACAAAGCCATGGGTGGCCTGGTAAATCCCTGTCCAGGGCACTGACTGTGACTAAGAGAAAGGGAATTACAAGGAGCATATGGAGTCACAGTAGTGTATCTAGCAGGGGTGTGTGCTTCCACACACTGTTCTTACTCTAGAAGCAGGACAGTAGACAGCATATTAGGGACATTTCCTGAAATGAATACCCACACTTTCACCAATAGGGTCTTGAAATACTCTCAAAAATAACTGTTAGTCCATCATTGCTTTATAGCAAAGCTTTTATTTTGTTTTCTAGTATGAAAAGCTGGGAAAAACTGTTCTGCCAAACCAACATGTAGAACATTAATGATTAGTGTCCAAAATGTTTTCAGTGCTGGTTAGCTAGAACTATTTTAAAATTTGTCTAGCAGAGTACTCAGAATGAGTCATGTAGAAATGAGTATTTATGTTCCCTCTGACCTCAAACATTCGTGGCCTTGTACAAGGTCACATAAGGAGACTGTGGAAAGCTTTCACATAACTTACTTCTTACTTCTTATAATTTCTCTCCTTAGTTCAGCAAGTTGTGTATGTGATATACAACACGTGGGGTTTGGTGCACTGAGAAGCACTTCAAATTCTTATAAAATTCAGTTTATAGCTATTTAATTGTGAATGGCGATAACTGAAAATATAGAAGGAATGTTGGTGCAGGGAGACAAATTGCAAGGGACAGCATTTTTCTGTTGCTGCTGGGGTTATTTTTAAATCTGACAATGATTCTCATTACATTACACACACTGTTTTACCAAAAACGATATTCTGAAAACAGTATAAAATTCCCAATCCAAAGACTAAGAATTTCAGAAAAATAAAATGCAAAGACAGCTGTCTAGGTTCTTGAAAATTTTCTTGGATCTCCTAAAATTATTTTTCCAGAGCTACTGTGTTCTGCGTTTTCCAGACATATTTAGAGTTGTAAAAATATTTCTGAGTGTGGTGGTTTAACCCCAGAAGGCAGCTAAGCACCACACAGCCGCTCATCCCAGCCGCTCATCCTCTAGGAGGAAAATTAACTCTATCCCAGCCAAACCAAGCACACAGATACAAAAGCACATATTAAAGACCATGATTCAGATCAGAAGGACTGATGAGTCAACCACATATGCAGCAACATAATGAAGCAAATGACAGGAAAAACTGAAATGGCTGTATAAGGATTTCCTTAAAGTCTGATTAGGAGAAACTTGGATTCCACTCAATATTGTGTTTCATACATGGAGTTATTTTGCCACTTGAAAATACGGACTAGCAAGCAGAACCTAGAATGATGAAATTCAGTACCTAAGAACCACAGACATCTCTGGATGTCCAGCAGCAAAACAAAAGAGTTCAGAAATCACAACTTTCTAGCACAACATTTTCAAATGTCAGACTGAAGAAAATCTGTCCGGCTACAGAACAAATCTTCAAATACATGTCTAGACTGTCTAGAGTGATAATAATAATACAATAATACAAATACCACTGGAAAGAACATTCTTAGAGAAATGAAACATTATGAAAAATACAATAAAAATTATATTGGTTGGAAAAATCGTGGTGGGGGAGGGATTGAAAGGGAAGGAAAGCATTAATTCACCTGTGTTAGCTTGGAGGACAAACATGATGTTCTTTGTTTATTAGGTTCCATTATGAATTTTTGGTTGCTCTGTTAACCTGAGGCCAAGGCAATAAACAAGTTTTTTCCTTTCAACTTTTGAATCAATTTTTAAAGGCCAGTAGGATTGAGTTAAGTAGGAGGTACTCCTAACAGGCCTGCCTCTTTTTACCAGCACAGAAGTTGGCCCACTGCTGGAATAATAAATTAGGTGATGACTTTATTAGCCAGAAAAAAAGACAAAAATGCTGTTGAAACAACCTCAGGATACATCTTTTATTTACTTAGGGGTGGGAGTTTTTGTTTGGGGGGTTTCTGTTTGGTTTTTGTTTGGTTTGTTTGTTTGTTTAGGGTTTTTTATTGTTGCTGTTTGTTAGTTTGATTTAAAAGATAAAAAAACAGGGATTTGATTGTGACACTCATTAGCAGTGAGTTTGGGTAGTCTTCACTCAGCAGCCACAGGAGAGAACTCACTCAGGAGCCACTTGGGACTGAGGGCAATTTTCTGACTGCTCTCCTGAGAGTGACAGCCACAGATCTGGTGAAATTGTGTCACTGTTCATGTCTTCTCCTCCCGACTGACGCAGACACAACATCAGCAGCAGCTCAGGGTTCTGCAGGGCCATGGATGGGCATGAAGCCTTCCCTCCTCCCTGAGACATAGCCTGGCATCTTTTACTTCCTGAACAACTGCTCCTTCCTTCCTCCAAGAATAAATGCAGAGTCAGGGGAAGCACCTTACATACTGGATTCAAGATTTGGGCCACCAGCTAGCCCTGCCAGAATTTGTCATATTGAATAGAAACCTGATTTATTGATAAAAGTCCCATTACAAATGTGGAAAAGATCCCAGAGTGGGAGGGAAGGGATAAAGAAGGAGCTGAATCCTTTCAGTACACAAGATTAAAACTGAGCCTCCACTTGGTTAGCTACAAAAGAGGGAATTCCAAACTGCTTGTTTCAGGCAAAGCATTTTAATGCCTGAAACTACAAACATTTAAAACTATGTAAGATACCTCATAGCTGTTGAAAAGCCTTCTGTTATCTTCCACATCCACATAAGGCCTATGGCTATCCACTATTCAGCTGTACTGCAACTCTCATTTATATTCTTGTTATAACCTGTATCATTCTTATGCCTAACTATTAATCTGTATCAGCATAAGAATTGCAAAGTATTGTGTAATTAATTTGTTCAAGTGAGATAGTTCTCCCAGGTCATAAAAACCATTACTTTTAATGGCCATATTAATTACTTACAAGTGTAAGACCAACTTCAGGCTTTGTTTGGCATTCCCTTTTCTAAAAAGAATTTTTGTCAAGTGCTGAACTTCCAGGATCCTTTTGTTCCACTGTGATTTCCTACTGCCTTCAGCATCAGCTAATCTTACACACTTTCACAGACCCAGAACATAAAATGACAGTGCTCCTATTGGATGCTCCTCTGTACCGCAGTTCCCTGAGACTGCCAGGTAAGTATTACAGTTTCCCTTTTTAGAATTCCTTTCAGAGAACTCCTACAGATTTGTAGATGTGAGATTTTTATAAAGGCTTACTGAATTTAGGAAAATACACTAATCTTCTAAAATTGGGTCATTTCACTGAAATATGCTTGTTACAGAGTTATCAAATCCATCTTCCAGGAAAATTGTCAGATCTCAATAACAGCACTTAGTCACTCCTTCACAGCATGACTCCCACCCTTAATCATCATCAGTAAAGCTGGGGCTTGCCTGTTTGATCCTGCTAGAGAAGTTATTAAACTATGTTACTTCAGCTGAGCAATATCTTGATGGGGAAATACCACAAAATGGAATATTTTCCAAACTAAAAGTTTTAATGTAATGAAAGAAAGCTTCTAAGTTGAGAAGAATGGCCCAAAATTCAAACTAGAAAGTGCAGTCATTCTTATTTCTTCCTGTGTATCATCAACATGGAAGAAATAATAAATGACATAAAATACTGAAAACCTGAAAACCTAAAGGATAAGCATCAATATTGTCACATGCTATGGAATGCGACTTCACCAATTAATGCTCTTACCATCCACAGCCTAATTGGGCACTCTCATGAATGGCTGAGAATGGATAGCAGGGAAAGGCAAGTGAAGCTCTGTCACCCTGGATCTCTTATTGTCAGGCTGAGCCGGGCCAGGCGGCGGCGGCTCCCCATGCAAAGCCTGCAAGGACACGGGAGCGTGCTGCACCCTGGGGCGAGATTCTGCCCAGCTGATGAAACATGGATGGGTGGCTCAAGCTTCAATTTTCATATTGTTAGTTTTAATGAGGCAGTACCCCCTGCATGTTTTCACACAGCCCTTCCCTTTCTGCTCTCTTGGAGCACAGCATTTCGGGCTCTTGACCCTGCAACACTCATTCTAATATTTACCAATCTCTCATCCTGAGCAGATCCAGGACTCCAGCACGGTTCTCACAGAAGCAGATGGCCTACCAAAAGGCTAGTGTGAAATTCTAATGGCCTTGTTTCTTGAAAAGACACAAATCCAAGGAAGTGGAAAAAAAAAGGGCCAACCCCAAAACTCAAAGACAAATGACTCAGGCTGAACACTAACACTGAACAGAAGCAGCATCTGATCCAAGTATATCTAAGAGTAGGAAAGGAAGATAAAACTGGCTAAAGCATGTGCAAAGCAGTTCATAAAAGCACTGCAAAACAACTGAATAGTTTGCAATCTGAATATTGTCACGTGTCATTGTGATGCAGCAAACAATGAAATAAACCCACTGCATGAAAACAAAGTAAGAACCCAATAACATACTATGTAGTTAATCCCTAGTTTTAATCTAGTGATATTTGTAGTAGAAGGCATAGATACTCTCTGGAAGGGAGACCAGTATACAACATTTTTATCCTCTCTTTCCTATGTGCAGGTATTTTGAACAGTAAACCCTAGAACCATGTTCCTTCTTGCTTCCTCCTGTCTGCCTTAGTTTCCTTTCTGCAAACCCCGCTCAGTACTTAGAGAAATAAAAAAGTCATAAGCACCAATGCTGAGGACAGGACTCCACAGTCTGAAAAGATGAAAAGTCCTTTCTTACATCTTTAACTGAAGCCACAATTGTAAATTTATCTTCCAAAATGTTAAAGGGAAAATGTGATGGTTATTTATTTTCTTGCACAGGTTTTCCTACATCTGAAGACATTTTTTCCTCTCACTACATTTACAAAAGTAGAAAGACAAGGGAGAAAAGCCCAACTACTATTTTTTTTACTAGCATTTGCATTCCATTGACAATATTTACATTGGGCATGTTTAGACATGTCCTTTTTAAAAAAAGTTTCCCCAGTTTTCAGAACGATTACATTTAGATATTGCATCAGTTCAAGACTAGGTGAAAAAGATAACTAAAATCTGAAAAGACCCTTTTCCTCACTTCATTAGATACTTCTAATTGGGGTAGCTGATCTAATTGATACAAAAGTATTTAACTCTTTTCCGTCTAGTTTCCTACGTGCTGCTAAAGAAATTTGTAGGGGCAGTAGGTGAAAATGAATCTGTTTTGAATGCAGGAGTGTAACTTTAATAATACAGTAACATTAATTTTTAAGAATAGCTGTTGTAAATTTAAAGCTTAATACTTTATAGTTTTAATATGTGTAATAAAAATAGTTCAAATAATTACAAAGAATCTAATGGATTAATATTTGCTTCCACATATGCTTCTGGAATTGAATATTACAACAGAACTAATATTAAATTGGATTTTATCTATTATTCAAGACGAGTCTTTGTCTCTGTCCTTTCTGACTAGATAACAAGAAAGCTGTGGCTGGATGCTGCTTCCTCTTACAGGGTTACAGCATAAACAAGGATCTGGTCATGGTGATTAAAGGGATTGTAAAAGTTACAAGAAACTTTGCAATCAGGCATGAAATTATTTGGTAGATCAGCTACACACTGACTCCATAGGAGAGCAGAAGTCAACCTCCAGCAGCAAAACAAAAATCTACTGCCTCTGGGAACTAAATCCTGGTGATTCCAATACCAGCCATTTCTGGAGCAAAAGCAATGCTGCCAAGAGGGGCCAAAGAAGACCAGGACCCGCAAGCTTGGCCTCCTGTTCATATCCACACGCTGAGACGGGGATGGCGTGCCCTAAGCAGAGTCAGGGGAAAGAAACATTTTTCCTCCCATTCACAGACAGACAATGCAGAACCAGTTGGAGAAACAGTCCACTGCTGCTCCTAGTGAGCGCAGCAGAAGCAGCTGCTTTTAGTAGCCAAACTAAATGCAGACTGGCACTGTGCCACAGACATCTCCTAAATTACTTTCTTAGGCAGGCAAAGAAAAGAAATCCAGTCAGATGGTCTCCAAAGCCACTGCCTTAACCACAGCTCCCTTTCCATTGCCCAGCTCTGCCACCTCCTGCTGCCTCTCTCCCTCCATGGTTGTGCTGTCAGAGGTGATTCACACAAGAGCAAGGCAAAATGTACTTCGTTAAAAGACCATGCTGTGCAGCTCCCTGTTTTCCTTACTTTTGGATCACTGGAGTGTTCAAAATTCTGCTTTTATCAGATTCAATCATCTTGTGTTAAACTCAGCAGAATTCCTCTAAACTACAGAATGACATTTCCTATCAGTTTCTTTGTTTCACTAAAATAATATAGATATTGTATGTAACCTGAAATTGGAGATTATTGAGCCAATTAGAAAAAATACCACACTTGGCAATCTCTTGGCTATAAAGAGGGACTGGTTTGGCTATCCTGCTTTAGTGGGGTTAAATATACATCAATATACATACAGAAGATACTCACAGCTCTAACAATAACAGATCTTAGTGATATGCACTGCAATTTGACAATATAACACCACTGTAATTTTTTGAACTATGGATGAAAAATTTCAAAGAGCATATTTGCACTCTATTATGAAGTAATGAACACATAGAATTCATTTCACATCTCACAGCTAGAATAGTGCCTGTCAGAAGATGCACTTTGATTTTTAAGTGCAAAATCCACATTTTTCCTTGTGTGCCTTTTAGGCATACCAAGCCATAGACCAGAATCCACTGGGAGCTATGTTGTTCTAAGAGAATCATGTAAAGAGAAAATATTTGTGTCTTGGAGGATGTAGGGGTAAGAATGGGGTTTGGATTTCCTTCTCACCATTACAGGTCTGATCACTTCAAGTAAAATAGACCAGAGCTATATCCTTGTGTTTTCCCTGCCCTCTCTTGATAGGGTGTATTTGCTTGAAACAGGGATGGAAATGCAAACGTTTCTGATTTTTCTGCTGCTTATATAGACCCTGAAGTGGCTAACAGCTGGAATTTGAGGTTCTTTTTTATCTGACTAAATGACAGTAAAGAGAAATCAATAGCTGTGGGGCCAGACTGGACGCTATGACTCTGCTCTGTTCAGAACATCCCTGTAGGCTGGCTAGCTCCATATAGTCACTGCAGTGTAGAGGGTACCAGCCTATTTCATGAGCTCCTCTTGGCACCACTGCTACAGCATCCTCTTGGAGCCTTTTGGCAATCAGAGAATGTGAATAGCTGATCTGGACAGGGATACTGAAACAGCTTTCCTTGCACCTTCCCTCCTCCTCAGTACTTGAAGCACAGAAAGTGCCTTGTATTCATATTAAGCTTTATGTTAATTAAAATTTAAACAGCTAGACAAATGCAATATTTCAATTCCACATTTAAAAAGAAAAACGTGATTGTCATGAATAGACAATCAGCAACTAAATACTTTACTTCCTAGGGGAAAATTAACTTGAATACATTGTACTCAACCAGAATTTCTGTTTCTCTGCACTTTAATGTGTTGGTCGTAAAACCTCTACAAGAGAGGATACAGGTGCTATAGATGATTGCCTGTATAGACAGGAATAGGCAGGAGCCTGAACATTATATTTATTGGCTTGGCTGTTTATCCTTTAGGCAAAGATTGTACACATTAACCTAGCCACTTCCTAGGTTTATTTTAAAAGGAAAAATAAAACACACGCCTAGAAATGCTAAAATTTAAATGATTCCAGGTGTGGCATTCAGTGATCGGTCAGTTAGGGCCTTGTTAAACCTTTTGTAAGAGATTTAATTTACTCTGTTTCTCTGAGGCATTGGTGCCAGAGCTATCTGCAGGAGGAGTGCGGCTCTAGAATGGATGAGACCTGCACAACTGGAAGCTAAGAAAGTGACTGCACGTGGCACTGGTACAACACATGTTCAGCCTGCTTCATCTCTTTTGATGTGCTGTTATCAGGAGCTGGCTCTGCGAGGGAGGGCAAACCAGGGGACTGCAAAGGCACCAGCAAGGGACACAGGCCTAGGTCCTGTTGAGGGGGGAGCACGGCAAAGCCTTGGAGGACAGGGGCATGCACACGGAGAGAGCAAAAATGGGTATGTTAGAGAAGAGCTAAAAAGAACATCAAGCAAATCAGGGCAAGCCATACCTCTTTCCTTTCCCTGAGCCTCCTTGGCAGTGCTCAGCTCAGTGACCATGTGGTAGAGGGCTGGGGTGTAAAAGTGGAGCAAGAAACTAGGAGAGCCTGTTCATATTAGGGGAGTGGAATCAGTGGAAATCTGGTCTTGGTCTGGGCTCTTGAGTTATTTGCAGTAGAAAGGTAGGTGCTTTCCAGATGCACACAGGGAAAGAAAACACAGGAATTAAGGGAAAAATTTGGATCAACATATTTGAAAGGAGTGGGAATTGAAGTACATATCGATAGACCTTTTAATGAGTTTTCATTAATTTATTTTATGCAGGCTTGGACTAGACATTTAGAGGTTGTTTAACACCACTAAATTATACTGTATACAACTAACCTCATACTGTCTATGTGGGGAGTAGGTTGGTAAATGGTCATAGTTCCAGTCTTCTCTCTGTGTTGTTTGCTCAGAGACAGCTTCTAATTGGTTGTGTTAGCATCAATTGTATAACCACCACGACATAAGAAAAACTGCACCTGATGTAGGAGAAAGAGAGTGAGACATGGAAAAGATCACAGGGAAAAAGATCACATGAAAGAGCAAACATTTTAAAGAAGGCAAAATCACAGGGTCCACAAGAGTATGAATGATAGTGACATTTTATTTTCTTTGTATAAATGACTTTTAGACTAAGGCACTTGTATAGGGTTCCCCAGAGCTGTATTAATATTCCAGTTCTGCCACCAGCTTCCAAAGTACTTTTGCAAACCACTTACTCTTCTAGAATATGTAAAATATATGTTACTGGTTTCTAGAAATAAAAATGTGATCACCAGAGTCCTCTCCTCACAAATCCAAGCTCCTTGACTTTTCTGGAAGTAAAGCTCTTTTTGAGATTTCAGTATTCTGAAGATTGCTGAGCACAGCCTAAAATCCACCCCGTCTTCTCTTCTGTTGCCTGGGCCATCTCTTTCCACCCAGCTCACAGCACCATGAGGACTGCTATACACCAGTTCACTACTTTCTCTGTGGTGGACAGAACCTCCTCACATATATCCTCTAAAACAAAAAGGTTGGAAACAGGTTGCATTTCCTTAGGTGTGGCTAAGCCAAGCTCATTTTTGCCTGCTTTTCATTTATCCCTAAGAAAAATACTGGCAGGTTATATTTAGCATTCTGAACCAGTCATGAGAAGAGGCACTGGGCAGGGCTTGTGGTTTCTTCAAGCTGATCATACCATCTTGGATAATTCATTAATTCTCTGTGTGGTGAACTATTTGGGTTTGCTTCTCTTTAGAGGTGAGTAGAACTCCTTTTCTCTGTTTCCCAAGAGAAAAAAAACCTTACCTAGCATGACACCTAGACTCAGCCAGGACAAAGTGTGCCTGGCAGGTCATTTGTTCCCACCTCCCAGGCCAGTACTCCTGCACAGCCAGTTCTTCAGACAGAAGATCAAAAGTTTGGCACAAGCTCTTTCCCTTTTTAACTTCTCTCCAGCACACCTAGACAACCATATCGGAAACAAATATGTGGTCTGTCCCCAGACAGTACATCAGGACTGTTGCCCATGGACAAGGGAGCTGCAGGAAAAGCACAATGACACCAGGTGACCCTTCAAGGGTGGGGTGGCTCAAAGGGCACCCACAGCAGCACTTACAAACCAAATTTATTCAGGAACCCTTCATGTCATCATTAAAATGTAGAGCTAATGCCAAAAAAATGGCTTGGGGTTGCACTGAGGTTCCTCAGGCTCTCAGCCCTCTATCAGGGGACTACTCACTGTTTATATCAGCATATTTCTCCCAGCAGATGGGCCATCATTGCTGTAGTGTAAGGGATTCACCTGCAAAACCAAAACAAAGCCTGTTAAGGGATTACAGAACTTCAAGAACAGAGAAAAGAGCAGCTGTTTCCCTTTGTAGGTCAAGATGAGAAACATATTTTTACTTACAGGAAATGAGTTTAATTTCTAAATACCAAAGAACAGTATGAATCTTTTTCTGACCAAATGCACATCTTTCTGATGTGGTAGGCATGTCAATTGTTACAGGTAGTCTCAGTAATCAGTATAGGGCCATCTCAATTTTCTTTCTTGGAGCAAGAAGAGCTTAATTATCTGTAGTTGAGATGGAATTTCTTGAAATGGAGATCAATAACTACTAAACAAACAGGTCAAAAAAAAAAAAAGAATTGAGGGGAATGGGTTGAAATAGTGAGATACATCATGAAATGTGATTAATGACACCAAGGGAAATATAAAATAACATGTTTCCCTGGAAATGGACTGTAAGTGCACAATGTCTGCACAATATTGTGCATCTGCAGTTCTCTGTCCTGCCACCTAATATTCAAATTGTCTGCCAGTATAAACACAGCTGCTAAATGTCTTCTACAACTGCAAAAATAATGAATCTCCACTTTTTTTCCCAGCTATTGAAGTATATTTTTACAGAGACAAATGCTATGTTTACCCTAGTTCAACAGAAGAAAATGCCAATGCCCAACATATATGTCTTATTAACCCATGTTGAGAGTCAAATATCATAGATCAAAGAAATGGAATGGCTGTTTTCTAGTACCCTTAGAGGAGCTGAGATTTAATGTTTTTGGCTTGAACAGTTTCTCATCTGGTTTCCGCATAGACATATGCCTACCCATCAGTATAAAATCACCATTTTACTTGGTTTTCACCATCACTGCAACAGAATCTGGCAGGATTGTGAAGGAAGGATGAGAAATCTTTTTGTAAACTCTGCTTTCCACATTGTGGATTGGCCTGCAGACTCTGCTGGGGAAGAACTGTGCTCAGCTTCTCCCAGCCTGGAGACATAGGTCTGCAGCAGCCGGGGGCGTGAGAGACTCCAAGTAACAATTTTCATTGTATAATACTAGCCTGGACTGTAAGAAGTAATTTAAGATAATTTACTAGGTTGCATTTACTGAAACAACTTCTTTTCAGAAAATATAACTAAGGAAAACCCAAGAAAAATGGAAAATGATAGTCAGAATTTTCAAACACTGTACTCTGCTTGGACTTCGCATAGATGAAGAGAGCATAAATGGGAAAAAAAGAATGAGAGAAAAAAGAGAGAAATAAGGCTCCATAAACCTAGGAAGGGTACCAATCCATTTATACACTTCCTGGAATGCTTAGAACATTTAGTCTTACTGGCCACAAGAAACCACTTTTGTTGTGCAAAAGGTTCCACATATGAACTGAAGCCAAAAGTTTTTCATGGTGCTGTGGGAAGAAAAAAACATTACTGTACAGTTTGGTGAACTACAGACAGAAACTGGTCTGTAGGTCTGCCTGGTAAAACTTTCTAAATTTATGAAAACATTGTCACTCCCCACAGCCTCCTTCATAGGCTTGAAATTTACCTCTTCTGTTACAAGAACAGGAAACTGGTCCCTAACCATGATGAGGCAAGTAAGCAAAGTACTACTGCTAATCTTGATTAGTTAAAAACTATGAACACACTTGTTTTCTGGCAGTTTGTCTCTCCTAACCTATACTCCACTTTTGTCTTATTCATCTGTTACAACCATTAGCTGGCATTCTGTGGGGCAAGGAATATGCTTTTCTCTAGGCATGTGCATGAACTAGCTTCAGTCCACTTTCCCCCTGGCTGCAATAGAAATGCCAAGGACATTAACCAAAGCATAAATGTGAAGGTTATGATTTTTTATCCTGCAAGAAAGTAAGATAGATCATAAATAGAAAAAATTACATAAGCAATCATTAAAGACAAATTAGGAAGACTGAGTTGGTAAAATCGTCATGATAAGGAGTAGGATACAACTTTAGTCCTTTATTGGAAGTTCCAGTTGTCTTTCTCTATTTAATTATTTCTTCTAGATCTTTAATTGCAGATGTTCCCAATCTATTACCCTGCTAGGCAGAACACAGTTTTTTGGATACCACTTTGCCAACGATCCCCCGTGAATTGGAGTTGTGCTTGACAGAGTTCAAAGCTATGATGTGGATCGGACTGTTATGTTGGGGAGAGGGGAGGTCCAAGACCTCTATAAATAATCTACAGCAGGTAAGTATTTCTGCACCCTTGCATCTGGATCTTGGAGTACTTTCTTTGACCATTAGAAGAAAACAAACTGAAGCGGAAATCCAGACTTTCTTGCTGCCAGACTGCAACGCACAGTTGGATCTACAAACCCAGCTCTCCAAGCTAGTTAGGTATGAGTTTGAACTCCAACATTCCTTTGTATTTCTGTTTAACAGCTTCACATTTTAAGTAAAGGCTAGAGATGAAACAAAGAGTTGCTCCAATTGAGAGGCTGTGTTTCCATGCTGTTCCCATCCTCTGGGCTGGCCCCGAGGAGCAGAGCTCACCAAGCACATAGCGCTGCTCTTCCCAAATAGCATGGCTTGGGATGCTGCCTCAAGGGGGTGGGATAAGGTCACAGTGCTAGGTACAGCAGTCGGTTGTGCTGCAGTAAAAACTTTAAAGTCTGTGAATTTATTCTATCCCACAGTTATTCTGGCATAAACTGTAACAGGAATTTGACTACAGCACCAATATGGGAAGAGGTGGGCACAAAATACAATGAGAACAGACGTGCTGAAGACAGTGTCTGATATTGTGCCCCAAAAGGAAGCAAGAGAGTACAGGGGATAAACTGCAGAGCTGAGAGTTCTCCTTGGACATTCTGCCTGGAAAAGCAACAATTGAGAAGTGGTCAAGTACCAATAAAGAAATGTAATTGTGCTCTCATGTGTTTTACACAAGAGGCATCCATATCACATTGTGAAAGAAGTGGGAGGACTGTCAGCCTCATTTATGATATATTTTCCTTATTCACTCTGCTTTTAAAAAACTCACAAGTTCCCCACATTTATGAATCTGCTAAAACACATGGCATTTCACAAGAATAGACAAATATGACTGCAAACTCTCAAGGTATCAAAGAATGCTTGGATAAGGATGCTAGTCACCTGGGAAGGTACCACTTACCATGAAAAGCCTTTGGATAGTGCAGAGGAAAAACGTGCCAAATGCAACATTAAAAATTAAGTGGCCTGATCATTACAAGAGATCAGTGTGTGCAATTCCCAGCCACTTCAATGTGAGTCACTCATAGGTACTGTCCTGTGATGGCTGGACCTGAGTGATTCTAAGGAACCGTGAACAGAAAACCAAACCCTGGGTCTAACTCTATATACCCTGTAAGGCTACAGGAGAAAAACAAAATAAAATAAAATAGGAGAAGCAATTCAACAAAACTGTCCTCTTCCTGCTTTAACAACATCATTCATGCTGCTAACAAAACAAATCCAAGTGATCACCACAAACACACACCTCTCAGGAAGTCTGCCCTTACTACTGGCTTTAAACATTTGCTGGGTTTTTACAGTGCTGAAATTATTCCTGCATCAAATCCTGGAATTACGGTGAGGCACCACCCTGTCTGTGGTTACAGGCTGCACAGACAAAGCCTTGGAGAGAATGCTGGGTGAAGCATGCTCTGGTGAAGCGAGGGTGGAAGGGGGCTCCAGCTGTCCTGTGCCTCCCCACCGCTTGCCAGGGATTTGCCCTCCTGTCTGGGAGTGCCCTCCAAATGCCAGGGCAGCCAGTGTGTGCCAGGGATGTGTGTGCAGCTCCTTCCTCTCCAGTCATCCTCACTGCATCCTGTCATCTTTCCCGTGTAACCACACAACATTTGAAAGAACAAAACTGTGGGTAGGATACCTTTCATAATAATAAATAGGAATAGCAGTGATTTTGTGAATTTAGGTCAATGCATCACCCTTAGAGTGTATTATAAATTCATCAGAATCACAGCCTGAAGAAAATTTTATTCCCTGGCACCAGCTGCTTTTAGCCATGCCACAGATCTTTAGCAGAATTTAAACTCCAGATTAAGTATTGATTGAGATTAAATAAATTATAATATGTTATAATGAGAAAGCTGGACTCTGACTGGTATAGATGGTTTCCCTTTTTACCTCCTTTCTCACCTCAAATATTAACAAATTTATTCACTGCATTTTAACTGCACCGAAGAACTGATTCAGAAATGTATAATACTGAAGTACTAATTTAAGCAGCACCTTCACATACTTGACACAAAAATGAATAGAAATTGTAAACTAGTACAGAACAAACATCAACTTGAAGAATTATGTGAATAGGAATAAATTCCTAAAGAATTAGCTACGGGGGGAAAGTAAATGCAAAACTGCAGGTTATATTAACATTTGATTATATTTCAGATGCTTTGTTCCTTTTTTAAGGTTTGAAAATATCTCTGCAGTGATGGCTACCAACAAGCTGCAACACAATGATCCACACTTTTGTTGCATTTTTTTTTGTTCAGCGGCATCAGCTGTTTGTATACCCAGTGCATTATTTCTGGACAACTAACAGATGAGCCTATCATTTTAAACTATATTTAATAGGGAATGAAAAACTTGCATGAGCAGGTATTCAAAATGTAACTGTGATGTAAATGTGATACGGTTACCATAGCCAACTGAGAAACACAACAAGACCAAATTCTACTGAAAAGAAAACAACAACTATCTTCTGTACTGCTAAAAGAGGACAAGAGGACACATAAGGACATATAGTTTTGTGTTTGACCTATTTTGGTTGATTTAATTTTCAGATTTTGTAAGCCAAGCTCCAGTGAGTTCCTGAGGAAAAAATTCTAACTGGCATTTTGCTGTGAGTCAAACCTCACTAAAAAAGTGCTTTGTGAATCAAGATAACATTAGAAGCTGTCTAGCTGCACGTACCAAAGTACCAGTTTGGACAAAAAAACCAGAGCTGTAATGGATTTCTAATAGTAATAATACTTTGCACTTCTGAACTACATTTCAAT